CTTCAAGAAGCTTCATATTTCCAAGGAGCTCCTGGTGGGAGGCATGACTGAGGCAACCGTTATGCTTACAGTTTCTGTAGTATAAATGGGCCAAGGAAGGAGAAGAAAATAGAATTTAAAATCAACTAACAAGGCAATGGTGAGTTATTTTCTAAATAAAAACTATTCAGAATTCATTTGCTTATCTTCCTCTCCCGGTCCAAATGTGTGCTTGGAGTCAGGCTGCAGTCACCTATCAATGACTGCTCAGTTTCCAATTAATTATTTAACCAGTCAGTGTGGCACAATTGTGCCTGCCACCTAGATAAGCCATGGTAGGAACGGTGGGGGGGGGAGTCATTCTGAAGTTGGGAAATATTTTTGAAATTAGAGGAAAAAGAGATGGCAAAATGTATTCTCTCCTTCTCTCTCTCTCTCTCTCTCTAATAATGAAAGAAATGCAGACATCAAGATACACTGACGTGTCTACAAAATTAGAAAAAAATTTCATGAGAGCCTTTGGTGAAATGGATACACACACAGTGAGACTTGTTGGGACAAACTTTCTGGGAAGCTTTGTGTACCAATGTTTGAATCCGGTGACCCATGGATTTCAGGTCTGGGAAAGCTCCATGGAGAAATTGCTGGAAAGGCTTGATGCACAGAGATATTCATTACAGTAGCATAATTTAAATTAGCTAAAAATTCAAGATCACCCTAAATATTTAATTTTAAGAATAGTTTAGTATATTAGGATATGACCACAAGAGGAATATCATATAGCCATAGAAATAATATTCATAAAGGATTCACGACATGGAGATTTTTCTTTATATTAAATGAAAAAAGTAGAAATACAAAGAAATAGAACTAGAAAAACATTATAGAAAATAGAATCTCAAAAATAGAAAATATCCTCAGAGAAAAAACTGGAAAGAATTAGAGTAAAATGAAAGTAGGCCATGTCTCCAATAGTTGGTAGTATTTTTTGCCCAAATTTCTATCAAAGCTAGCCAACATCACATTCTGTTCCTTTGTCTTAAGACCTTTTGAGAAGCTACAATTTAAAGTCTTAGTTTCTAATAACATTTCCAATGTGGCCACAATTTTTAATGGAATTGATGGTTGTACGTGTTGCAAGCATAGAGAACCATGACAAAGGGCTTTTCTTCTCCAAAGAGCAGGACAGATGGACTACCTGGCTTCATTGGAGGATCACAGTTTTTACCCCAGGAGATGTGCTCTTGCCAAAGGAATCTTTCAGCATTTCAAAAATATCAACAGCCTCTGAAACTCATCAAGGAGAAATTCTTTGATAGTGTTGGTGAGAACATCATGGATGAACCAGGAGTTGGCTCTTTCCAGAAGAACACAGCAGAGAAAACCACTTCCTCTATGGTTGCTTAAGATATGCAATGAGGGAAATCTTGGAGGGCAGGCCATCATTTGATGGTCTTCTCTTGCTCCAAACCTCAATCAACTTGACTGTCTCTTTAATGAATGAGTCATCAAAATATCCCCTCAATTTATCACAAGTGGCTTCTTTGGCTAACCAGTGTATTGGCTGACCGCTTTTGTTGAATCCACCAAGAAAGGGCTTTGTCTTGGGGAAAATGAAATGCTGGGGAATTTCTAGGCTTTAAAAATGAAATCTTACTTTGAAATTGATCCACATGGTTCAATTTATTTAGAGACTGGCAGTGTAAGGCACACCATTGCCATTGCAGGGGTGTGTGTGCTGTACCAAGAAACAATGGCTTGAGCTTGAAATGAAACCAAATGATGCTATCTGAAGCTACTGCATATACTTTCTGATGTCATTTTCCAACATTAGTATCCTTAATGTAAACAATGATAGATGTCCATAATCATAATTAAGGGATATTTGCATTAATTCCCATCAAAGAGGGGCGCCTGGTGGCTCAGTCGTTAAGCATCTGCCTTGGCTCAGGTCATGATCCTGGGGTCCTGGGATCGACCCACATCGGGCTCCCTGCTCAGTGGGGAGCCTGCTTCTCCCTCTCCCACTAACCCTGCTTGTGTTCCCTCTCTCGCTGTGTGTCTCTCTCTGTCAAGCAAATAAATAAAAAATCTTTTTAAAAAATTCCCATCAAAGAAAAGCTGTTCTGAATATCACAATATGGCGGCCACTTGGTCACATATTACCTTTCAAAGTAGTTTCCCAGGCCACCTGCACTTTTCTGATGGCACAGGACTTAAAGGCATGATTTGACATAAAAAAAGAAATTTCCTCTGCAATGACAGTTTTTAACGTAGCAGGAGGACATTTTAAAAATCTTTTTTCATTGACTCTCTAAAACTCATTCAGGGGTATTCCTGGTGTTTCCCTTTCCTAGGGGTTGTCATATAACAAAGTACTACAAACTGGGCTTAAAACACCAGAAATTTGTTGTCTCACTGTTCTGGAAGCTAGAAGTCTGAAATTATGCTTTTTGCAGGTCTGTGCTCCCTCTGAAACCTGTAGGGGGGACTCCTTCCTGGCTTCTTTCTAGCTTCTGCTGGTTTGCTGACCCTCTTTGGTGTTCCCTGGCTTGTAGCTGTGTAACTCTGGTCTCTGCCTTTGCTGTCACATGAAATTTTCTCTGTGTCTCCATGTCTTCATGTGGCTATCCTTTTATGAGGACACCAGTCATGGGTTAGGGTACCACTCTACTTGAGTATGAGCTCATCTTTTTTTTTTTTTTTTAAAGATTTTATTTATTTGCCAGAGAGAGAGCTCGAGAGTACACAAGCAGGGAGAGCAGCAGGTGGAGGGAGAAGTGGGCTCCTGTTGATCAAGGAGCAGGACTTGATCCCAGGACCCTCGGATCATGACCTAAGCCGAAGGCAGACGCCTAACCAACTAAGCCACCCAGGCATCCCAACCTCATCTTAATTAATCACATTAGCAACCACCCTGTCTCTAAATAAGATCATATTCTGTGGGTTAGGGGTTAGGACTTCAACTGATCTTTTTTGGGGGTGACAGATTCAAACCATAACACCTGGGGTCTATGAGTTGTCCAAAGAGCCTTTTTTTTTTTTTTTTTTTTTTTTTTTGAGATAGACAGAGGGCAGACAGAAGTCTGGTGGCAGTGATCTTTCCCCCTGATGATTTTGGTGCAAGGACTTTGGTTACTGATGACGAGTTGTGGCCACTTCCCAGCTGAAGAAGCTCAAGTTCTATACTTGAGTATGGGTTGCAAAGTGAAGTTTATGGTTGTGTCCAGAACATTCTCTGCTGATGCCATATGTTTGAAAATGTCTGAATTTTGTGCAGAGACACACAAGCCATGTTTTTGTAAGTGGAGTTACATAATTAGGGCATGGACTTGCATTATAATTAGCACATGTAATTAGGCACAGACTTCTTGTCCTTTAATTAGACAATCAAGACATCTAATTACAAAATTAAGATGTAATTATGTGGCCCAAGATCTACATATTTCCTTCCATCCATTAGAGATCACATTTAGAAAAAATAATTCACAAAAACTGATGAAGACATGAACCTGGAAACCAGATTCAAGGATGTTGAGGCAAGTCTTAAGTGGGCTGATAAGTTTTCTTTGGTCTTCCCTTTTAGGTGTGAGGGGAGTTATTTAAAATATCATAGTCTACTTGAACAAATAATTGTACATACTATGCTATCGACCTTTGGTACACACACTAATGAAGAGGAATGTTGGCACGACTAATCTGTATAATTCACATGTGGCTTCAGATGGTGATTTGCAATTACACTTGAACATGGACTTCCATGTGATGTCCTAGGAATTCATTCAAAGCCAGTAAAGCAGCCAGATGGTGGAAACCTCCTTCCCATTCTTGGTTCTCCCTTGTGACTACTTTAAAAGTAGACCCATTGCGCAGAATAATGCAAATCAACACTTGGGTTGGGTTGTCCTTTCCCTTAATATTTGATGAAAAGTTCTTATTTTAAGTGGTCCTTATTGGACTATAGGTGGGCAAAGGGGAGGTCAAAGACTATAGCGAACATTCCATCTTTCTAATGATAAGTGAGTGATTTTTAGGGCAGCATTTTGTTCATCTAAATTCTAGTGCTCCTAGGAAGCTTGGCTGTGATGATACGCTCTATATTTTTCCTTGCTCCTAAACTGAGATTTGGCTGATCTCTGCATGATGCTAAACACCCAGTTTGACTCATTAATTTTTCTGAACTAACTGAACTTTTGACCTAATTGGCTGGCTGATTAGGGATTACAGCCATATGTCCAGGTTTTTCTAAGCCAGTTCTGACTTTAACTCTGTTATACCTCTGTTCCCATAAACTGGTGAAATATCCTAGTAATTCCAATGTTTTGACAGCTACGCTGCACTTCTCAGACTGCTGCTTTCTCTTGGAAAGTGGCATCAAAATCTGTTGGGCCACGTTTCCTGATTTTTGGTTAAGAAAATATGCTTCCCATATGGTTTCAGGCCATGAAAACAAAGACATGAAGAGGTTATAAGCAGTTGGCGATGAGGTCTTGTCTCCATGGTGTGTTCTCTGCCTCCCTATGTCTGTGTTTCTCTCTTAAGCCATGGAATGTGATGAGGGACAAATTATGTGCAGAGGTCAGTTTTGACCAGCAAAACACATAAATTTGCACAGGGAACTTATTTCTACCATTGGGACTTTTTCTTTGTCTTCTGATAGTTGTTCATGGCTGATGTAAAAGCAAAGGAATTGAACTAGGGAGAGGTACATTTTTAAAAAACAACATATTGATGGTGGGGAAGGGGCATTTAGAAGACAGCCTCGTCAAGGTGTCTCCCACCTCTGAGATTTTAGGATTCCTCCATCTCCAGCCTGTCATGGGATCAGGAAGAATTTCCTGGGGTCCTTTCCACTCTCGCACCTCTATGCCTCTATCGCTTTGGTCCTTAGACACTGTCAATCAGAAACCACTCCTTCCACTCTACCTTGAGGAGAACTCACTAATTCTGTTTCCCAATAGAGTCAACATATGAATGAAAACTTCAGTTTCTTGGTTTTTAAGATTTGCTTTTCCCCTCAGGTATTCCACATCAGCGTTTTCAAGACTGGAGAAGCTGGGCATCAGACATCCCAAGCCGTCTCCTTTTATTGGAAATTTGACATTTTTCCGCCAGGTAAGGGCAGCCTTCCATTGTCTTCCAGCATAAGATATGCTGGGCCCAGGGCAGCTTCTCCCATGGAGCACTGTGTCCATCTAGGTCACCCACACTTGGGTGGTCTATATGTGAAGGCACTGTGTGATGAACCTTCTCCTCCTTGAATGAAGTCTCACGTGACAACAATGTTCCATTGATTATCACTCATCAACATGTGTTGAGTCCTGCCATCTGTCCATTCCTCCATTTACCCCAAAACCAACTGACTGAGTATCTAAATATGCCAGGCCCTGGGATGTGGAAGAAGTAGAGAGATTACTTATGCCCTTAAGCGTGTGCATGAAATCATGGTGTTCAGCACTAGATGGGATGTACCCTAATGCTAGATTAGGCAAGAGAGATGGTAACTGTGGTGTCCTTCAGAAGAGAGGAAGATATGTCAGGGCTAGAATCACCCTGGAGGACTTCCTGGAGATGGAGGTCTGGCAGGAGCAATAAACACAAGGGCAAGAATGCAATACCAGGTGAGGAACAATAATATGTGTGTTTGTACTTAAATGAGAAAGGCCTGCATACTATCACTTGTGAGCGGGAGAGGGACCCTAAAGTGGAAGGTCATGCTGCAGGGGAGAAGACTTAGCTTAAAAAGTCTACGTGACGTGGTAAGGGCTTGGCTCAGGTGGTGAGGGTGAAAGAGAAGGATATTGGGGGCAAAGTCAGTAACTCCTAGGACAAATTCGGTGTAGAGAATTCAAGGCAAATGAGCCAAAGCATCTCTAAGTGTTGAGCCAGGTTCACAGGGAGAATGGCCATGAGTTGACAGAAACAGAAGGTCTGGAGGGCTGCTGGTCTGGGGAGATACCTTTGGTTGGCCGGAAAGACATGCAAGTGGAAAGGTCCTGTAGGCATTTGTAGATGGAGACCCAAGACACTATCTTCTAAGAATATTTTTGTTTCCCTTCACTGGGTTTTCTCAGAAGCCGGATGGTTTAATCTGCGAACTCATGGTGGTGCTGCCACCAGACCCTGCATCAGGAGCTGACAGATCCCACGTGTGAAGAACCGCTGAGCTGAACAGAGACAGGAAGGGCTAACTGGGCCAATCCTGGTCATATCTGTTCAACGTCATTCTAGGATTTCCCCACCACCCCCTTCAGAAGGGCTGGCCCTCAGCACCGCACAGATAACAGCATCTCCTATTTCTGTCCTTTTCCCTCTTCCTCGGTTTCTTTTCCTTTCTGTCTCTTTTCTCTGTCCAACATTCTCACTCCTCTTTATTGTTGCTGTTGCTCTCTTCCTAGTGTTTTAAATACCTTCTCCCCACCTCTGTCTCGCTCACAACGCTAAACCCGCAAACAGCGACCTCATTAAGGCTTCTGGTGAGTCCTTGAAGCAAGTGTGAAGAAATTTCTAAGTGTCAAAAGAGAACAAAACGCTGGAGAGGAAATTCAAAATAAATAGATTTCACATATTTCTGGGAGGGGGGTAATGATCAGTTGTATTCAGTTGAGTAATTTAGTACTAACATTCTGAGGAAAAATAGTAGAACTGTCGATATGAAGAGAACACTGTGCTCCTGCCTCTGGTAATTTCCACATATGCTCCTTTTCAGCTCGTCATCCTTGTATGTACAAACCTTGCCAAGATCCTTCTAGAACATAGTAATTTCAGCGACTATTTTTATATTCATAGAAGCTTTCCTTGATGTATGGCAAGCTTAGACTGTGAAAGTGGATGTAATAAGGATGGGATGTATTTCCATTAAGGACATCCACCTCTTCTACCCCCCACTCCCCAACTCTCTCCTCTCCCCCACACCTCGGTTGTGTCTCCTTTATACTGCATTCCCATGACACAGGGATCTAGCAATCTCCAGACCTTCACCCCTACAGTTCCTCCGTCTATATTTGCACACAAACCCCATCCCCACTACATGACCCCAACCCTGCAGCACAGTGGGTGTGGCATTTTCTGACATCTGTCTCCGGGTATAGTTGTTTCCCATGACAAAATGTGTCTAATGTTTTGTCCCATATGAAGCTACTCTAAGGTTCTTATGTTCTGACTCCATTGATTTTAGTCAAAAATTTCACTTGGATCATGATAATTCAGAATTTGTGATAATTTGGATAGATTCAGCAGGCGTTGACACACATAGTGGCTGTCAAAAGGGGCTTTGCCAAAATTAATAATAATATAAACCACACTGCAGAAGGAAATGTTAACATAGCTGAGAAAGCAAACAGTTTTCAAATATTTTAGCAGCAATTACACGCAAATACTTTAAGTAGAGATGATCTCCTTCCATCCATTAAACCAAAGTTGACCGAGATTTTTCCTTGGCAATATGTTTTTTAAAGCTATTTGTTTATTCTAATACTTCAAAGTACTTGAAAGCAATAGAACTTGAATTCTTTTTTATTGTTTATGTAAGTGTGTTCTCATGGTTCTGGACTTTTTCCTGAATAAATTTGAATACTTGAAATACTGTTTAATCTTATTCTTACAGTAGTGATGTGTTTTCTGCAGGGTTTCTGGGAAAGCCAAATGGAGCTCAGAAAGCTATACGGACCTCTGTGTGGGTAAGAGGGAACTCCACTTTTCTACCATTTATCTTGATTTCTGCATGTTCTGATAAGGAAGTAATAACCAGAATGGGGATGTTGTGTGCGTTTAGGTCTTTCGAGGACCCAAAAAGCGAGGGCTTAGCTGTACAGATGAGGCTCCTGGAGGAGGCCCCAGTGTTGCCCAAGGGGGCCCCTTGCTAGGCTGAAAGAATACCATTTCCCAGCCTTTAAGACCCTGACCAGTTTGGTCAGACCCTGGGTGCCTTGACCATCTCGCACTACTGCTGCAATTGGACACAGTGGCCCTCCATGCCTCAGTTTAGTTTGCCTTGAGAACCCATGACTGGTCTTTCCTCATGAACTTACCAAAACCTAACTTAGATCCATTTTGTTCAATTCTGTGGGTAAAACATGCTGTCAGCTGCATGACCATATAACCTGCCATCCAATACAATACACTGTGTTGACCGTGAAAGGGGGCAATATTAATAATTATCCCAGGCCAACAGTGGACATGATGACTGTCCTGGATATACTGGGACTCTGGTCACCCTAGTTCTCTGCCATGTAAAGTACTAGAGCCCTCTTTTTTTCTTGAAATCTCCCTTGTTATGTCTCAGTTAATGCTCCTTCTTTAAAAAAAAAATAATGACATTCCAGAATCTGGTGAACAAACATATGTTAAGACCAATTATTTTATTCAAGATTTGACAGACTTGAGTCATATTGATTCTCAACATGCGTCTTTCAACACTGGAGTCCTAATCATTTTTAGTCTGTTTCTGTATCGCTCCTCCTCAGCCATGGGGTGATTATTAGCAGTTTTTTTCCAGACCTCCAGGTCTGTGACCACTGTTTTAGGTGCAGTAAACTTCTGTTGTGTTCCTAATGTACACGCTAATGGGATCCAGTGGTTTGGGAACCCTTCTATCCATAGGATCCATGATGCTTCTTCTCCCAGTGATGATTTTCAAAAGACTGACTTGTATTTTATGGAAAAGGCCCTACCTGGGAGTTTTGGCTGGGTAGAGTTTTGGCCAAGTTGTTGGCCAAAGTTTTGGCCAAGTTGTTCTCACTGCCCTTTAGTTTACTATACGATCCTGCAAAAGTAATAAATTGTCATACTAGATGCTCTCTGAATTAGTTTGTTACCGCTGTGGAACAAACCGACCTAAAATGCAGGGACTTAAACAATAAATTATTATTCATCACATATCTAAGGGGTGGCTGGAATCAATTAATCTAAGCTACGCTTGGCTCAACTCAGCTAGGCTTGCTGGTGCATCTGCTGGTCCTCTGGGCAGCCAGCTCACTTAGGCTCAAGTGGGGCAACTCTGCTCTATGTATCTCTTGTCCTTCTTGGAATAGCAAGGAAACCAGGAAAGGCTCTTCTCAAGGTGAAGGCAAATATTCAAGAGAGCACACCTAAGGGCACAAGAACATTTTAAGTTTCTGCTGCATCATGTCTGATAACATCCTATTGGCCAAACCAAGTTCTATGGCCACACTCAAAGTCAGGGCAGGAAGCACACTCTGCCCACAGTGAGGCCAAAGCAAGTCACTTGGCCAAGCCTGACATGGATGGGGCAGGGAGGTGTGTTCCTCTGATAGAAGGACAGGGAGACGGTGCACATCTTCCAATAATAATTAACTCTAGGTAATTCTCTAGGATATCTTTTAGCTTGGTCTTCACTTTTTTTTTTTTTTACTTGCATAGCTTCTTGCTTTAAGTATGATAGATACGTAATAAAGGCTCAAAGGATTAACCCATTTACCTTTCTCTTACTCTTGGGCTGTTCTATTGCTTTTTCAAAGTTCTCATTCCAGTTCTCTCTTCCCAACAGTCTCAATCTGTGGTTGACTTGACACCGACCTTGGAGACTGTCCCATACATTACTGAGACATAGCAGTGACTCAGAATGACAGCAGCTTCCCTAGAATTAGGAAAAGGCCTCTCTAAGTTTGAATTCTAGGAATCCATCCCCTGGAGTACTCTTCTGGTAGATTTTTCAGAGTAGAGCACTTGGGTATTTTAAAATAATTTTAAAATGTCAGATGAAGAGTTTAAAGGGCACTGTATTAACTTGTGGCTGGCGTGGTGTGCATGCCTGTGTGAGAGGTGGGGGGCAAAGAGAAAGAGGGGGGGAGGGAGAGAAAATTAGTCTCTTTGACGACAGGATGTCTAATCAACTCCACCAGCCCAACTTTAACTAAGTTAACACCATTTATCCTTTTCATTTCAAGAAAAAGGGAATCGAAGAGAATGATTTCTGATGAGGTTGTAGAGATAGAAACTGCAGTCAGTATCATCTCCACTCTTTGTTCCCACCTCTGGTGAAAAGGGAAAAAAAGAAAGGGGATGAAATAATTTCAACATTTTTCTCCTTTAGAAAAAAAGATGAGCCATAAAATGCTGACTTCTTTTTAAACATGTCCACTCCTGGATTTGGAGTCAAGACGGTGATGGGGCAAAGCCCGGACTGAGCGCTGTAATCTTGATGAGAATCGGTGTGCTCACCTTTAAAAATGAAAGGGATGGGGACACCTGGGTGCCTCAGTTGGTTAAGCTGGTTGGAAATGTCAAGGATGAAGTACGTTCAGTAAAAAGCCTTTCTTTTACACAGTGATTCAGTTGAAGTTATATTAATTTTTAGACTATTCTTATTTATTTTTAAAAAGATATTTATTTATTTATTATTAATTTTGGGAGAGAAATCACGCATGCACAAACAGGGGGAGTGGCAGGGGGAGCGGGAGAAGCAGGCTTGCTGCCAAGCAGGGAGCCCGATGAAATGCGAGGCTCAATTCCAGGACCCTGGGATGACATCCCAAGCCGAAGACAGACACTCAGTGGACGACGGAGCCACCCAGGTGCCCCTGACTACTTTTATTTATTTATTTTTAAAGATTTTATTTCTTTATTTGATACAGAGAGAGAGAGCAAGCACCGGCAGGGGGACAGGCAGAGGGAGAGGGAGAAGCAGGCTCCCTGCAGAGCAGGGGAAGCACGATATGGGACTCTATCCCAGTACTCCGGGATCATGACCTGAGCTGAAGGCAGTGGCTTAACCAACTGAACCACTCAGGCGCCCCTACTTTTATTTTTTTAGAAAATATTACCAAGACCAGATTGGTCCTCTTAAAAATTAAAATGATAGATTGATGCAGCATTTGACAAGGGAAGCCCCACACTGTTGATGCCATCTAGAGAGGCACTGCATTGCTGGGTGTCGGGACAGTACTCCGTGCTGGGAGAAGCACGCGCAGAGGGGACCTCCTCTCTGCTCTGGACCTGAAAGCCAAATATGGGGATCATGATGCTTATTATCTGGTTGTTATCATAGCAACTCAGTCAGAGTCTGGTTCCCCAAACTGGAGATCGGCTCCTTCTCCATCCTCCCTCCCACTCACTGCTATGGGGAAGATATTGCTCGAGGAGCTTTCTGCCAAGAAGGGTTGACAGCATCACTGTTTACTGTCACCGCCACCACCACCGAGAACAAAATGTCTTTACCAAGTATCTAATTATGTAGCCTGCTTTGCCACGCGCTGTGCAGATAAAACTACACATGTTGTCTCTGCCTTCTTTGAACTTGAATGTAAAGCAGATGGACTGGCACGCGTACCTATCCAGTTTTTATTCACAATACTTGGTTTGAACTCTTTTGAATTGCACGGTAGGACCCCTGACAACATAATAGAAAGAAAGTGAGGCTTTATGGCTTTAGACAACCTGCTGTCGGTTAATGATTACTGGTTAGCTCCTTCGGTCTGAGTGTGAGCCCCCAGTTGGATTTATATTCCTTCCTAAACCCTAAAAGAACAGCACCAACATAACCATCAGACACTCGTGATTGGATAGAAACAGGATGGAGATGATTTTCCCCTCCAATTTGTAACTGGCTTTATAATCCAGTGGATGACAAGCCTTTATTAAACTCTTCCTATTAATTACTTATAAGTACTTATGGCACCTAAGTTTAGCTCATTTGTGACTCCTGAAGTCTCCTATCCAAAGCTTCTTTACCCTTCTCTTAGATGTCTTTTAAGGGATAGTTCTGTAGCTGTTCTATTTAGCTCCATCCCTATCTCTTCTTGCCCTTACTTTATTTTGACCCTTGATTTCTAGTATAAACTTTACTCCCTCTTGTTGAATTTGATTCTCGTGCTTCTTGGCCTCCATCCTTCTCCACCCCTCCATTTCATTACTGCCCCCTCATTCCTATATCCCTTTAACAAGCCAGATTTGTTCAGTGATCTCATATACCCTCCTTGGAACAGTACGTTGTAAGTAGGTAAGCATGCATATTGTATACAATTCATAAAGTACAAACAAGTATTCAGCAGAAAGTGAAACTGACACCCTTCTTGGATCCTTAGCCACTCTTTCCCAGAAGAAACCTCTGCTATCAATTTCCTAACACTCAGACGGATGATATATGCTAGATGCCCTTCTTTATCTTGCCTTGTTCATTAATGATATTTGTGAAATTTTCTCATTTCAGTACATTCATTCTTGTTAATTGCTATTCTATTTTTTTAAGATTTTATTTACTTATTTGACAGAGAAAGAGATAGCGAGAACAGGAACACAAGCAGGGGGAGGGGGAGAAGGGGAAGCAGGCTTCCTGCTGAGCTGGGAGCCCAGTGAGCTGGGAGCCCAGGACTCTGGGATCATGACCTGAGCCAAAGGCAGACATTTAATGACTGAATCACCCAGGTGCCCCATAACTGCTATTCTGTTTTTTAAGGATTCCATTGTATGGATGTATCTGAATTCTAAAATTAAGTTTTCAATTGATGAACATATTTTGTTCTCATAAATAATACGGCAGTGAATTTTCTTCTATATACATCATTGCTATCTTATGTAAGTATGTCTGTAGGGTAAATTCCTAAAATAAATTATCAGGTCAAAGATTATCTACACTTCTAATTTTATTTTAAATGGCTCTGTCTAGGAGTTATATCAATATACATTCTCATAAATAAGTATATGAGAGCACCTGGTTCTC